TTTTCTAATTTAGACTTAATAAATGTCTGCAGGGCGGACATCATACTGCAAGGGCTTGTTCTCGGTCAGTAGTCCTCCTTAGCAGTGTAAAAGTAAAAAAGTAGTTTGATGCGTAACTACTGATTGTACTCTGTGATACTGTGAACTTCTGTACGAGTAATTCTGCGGAAAAATCCGGAACTTTGAAGTGTTTATAACCTATCGTCGGACCTGTCTGTATTCAATCTATTACGAATCTGTGCGCACGTAACAATATAATGTTTATTTATTACAGTCTTAATTAAAAGCTATTTAGGAGACCTGATGTCATTTAAGAAATGATGATTTAACTTCACCTGGTGGTCACATTTCTAGTTGTTGACTACAGCAATCGGTTGTGTCCTATCTTCGGGTAACAGTTTATATTCGCCACTACTTCTTGTTTATATCACATTTATAAAATAATACTTTTGATAAAAATGAATGAGCTAATATCGTATTTTTAAATGTATAAAAATCACTTGAAGAAAACGTAACATCTACTAATTTACAATCCAAATTCCTTTGGAAAGCACCTAAAAACCTTTAGGCTGACTTTTGATTGTCTAAGAGCAAATTTACCCTCGTGGCCCTTAATTCCTCATTTCCAACTTATTTTCAACCAGGTGACTTCTTTAGGTTGCACAAAGCTAAGGCGACCAGCCGAAAGCTCTACCTCTAAAGCTTTTTCATTTTTAATTATTTAATACGTAATATTTATTTTTACATATTAATCTTTAATTAAAAATAAAATTGTAGATGCCGGAAAGATTCTAATTTATTTCTGTTAAGATTAGAAAGATTATAATTTTAAGATATCGAAAGTCTCTTAATTTAAAAGTATTTTATTGAATTTAAAAATTTAAAAACCTTTTCATTAGTTGAACTGAAGCGAACTATTTGAGCTTGAGGCTTTGACGTGTAGCAATTGAGTTCTATTTTGGATTTATATGCCAGGTAATTTGATGTTTTGTCCATTTTTACTATATAATATTTAGTTTTCATTAGAAGATTTTTCTAATTTCTTTTTTATTATTAATCAATTTAAAAATCGTAGTTAATCTAATTTCATTATATATAAATTATTAGTTTTAACAGTGTTTCTTGCTGCTCCGCATGTCGAATTAATATGTACTCCCCAACAATGAAAATGCAACACCAAGAAAGACTGGGCCAAATACTATGCAGAATTTCAGGGTAGATGCACGCCACCGAGTTATGCGAATAATGTAGAATCTCCAGCGCATATTGAAAAAGATGTAAGGGAAGGAACCTTCAGAATGTTCAATTTTCGTGCTGTTATTTCTGCTAGGAAAACTATCATAGAAAATTTGTTCTTGTCTCAGATGACGCGTGTAATTGCAAAGAATGCATGGCCTTCGTCATCGGAGGCAATTCAAGGAGACAGACGATTTTACGAGGCCATGGTGATCGGACTGAGAAGGGCAAGTTGGTCCATACTGCAAATATCAGCTGACATATACCTGGATTTGTCCAGAGTGCACCACCGGCTGTGGTGACGATATTTGGAATAAGGAAATGTGGCAAGTTCGAGTGGTGCCGATGAAGCCAGAGTGACGTCAGTACGCGAAGATCGACGCAAACGCCAACATGTAGTGGCACATCCGCAAGCCATTTCTATCTCCATTCTGCAGCATGTTCATGACACCCTAGATGTTCCCATATCGACCAGAACAGTTTGTCATCGATTGGTGTCTAGTGACCTGCACTCGTAGCGTAAGTTAAGAAGACTGAAATTGACTCCTATCATAGATACCAACCTGTGCAATCGAACACATTTGGAATATGAATTGACGCCATTTGCAAACCCTGCCATTGCCGAGTTCAGAAGACGAACTGTGGCAAATGGTTGACGGGGAAAGGAAAGCCTTTCCTCAAGACACCACCTTGTAGTCTCATTGACACTCTACCTAGATATACGTGTATCCCGTCCAAGGTGTTCATACAACCTACCGAGCTGACATTCTCGCTCTTTATTATGCATATAATTTCGAAATAAAGATTATTTATTGTTCTTTGCAATTAACTCCTCCTTTTAGCCCAAAGGGGCGTTAGACCAGAAGGGCTGTAGTCTCGAAACGACGTTGAATGACTTAAATGCGATGTATCACTTATCAAACAGTTGCAAGCAATATTATCGCCTTGTATTAGATTTTAAAAAACTAGACAATGAAGAATCTGCATGCATATATGTATGCTTCTTGTACTGTGAAAAAACAATGCCATCAGAATTTGAATAACGTAGCCCACCCCTCGAACATGGGCACATGGAATCCCGAATTGGAATTTGGTTTATTGTCGATTTCAAATTTTGTAAAGTTTTTGTAAAAAACGATTTTTTAATAAAAGGATCAGCAGTTTCAGAGCCTGCAGTAGCAACATTGTAGAGAATAAAACATTTTTATCTCCAGCGCGCGAGACTGTCTGTCGGAAGTTTTAATGTTATGCTGTTTTGAAATATTTTAGCCCAGATGCTCTCGAAACGTGTATGTGTCTGTAAATGAAACAAAGTATGCCCGGCCCGTGCGGGCGTATAAATCTGAAAACATTCGATATTTTTATTTATTGTTATTTTAGGTTTTCTATATAATATTTTTCGCATATGTTAAATTGCTTCTGCTTTATTGTCGGATTTTATTTACATGTTTCGTTTTTGGATTCGATCTGCTTATCCAAAAAATAAATTCATTTAAAATTTTAACCTTTTTCGCTTGTTTATGATTTTGATGCTATAAATTTGCTGCTTTTTACTTTGGCCTACATAGTTTCAAATTTTCATATGTTATTATTTTTCTTTGTATTGAATTTTTTATGTGTACACACTTGGTTTTTCGCACTCTCTCTGCTCAAAAACAAATAAATAAGTAAGTTTTATAGTTTCTTCAAGCTTTTTTATGATTTCATTACTATAACCTTGCTATTTTTTGCCCTACATACTATGGCTTATAGAACTGGACTGATAAAAACACAGATTACTTTAATTAATTTTTATGAAATTATTGTAAGTACTGAACTTTAATTTGTATCATTGTTGGTTCAGGAACAGGCTGATGTGTTTGCTTATGTCATTCCTGTTTGTTTATTATTACATCAACCCCTTAATAATTATACGTAAATTTCTGTTTCCCTGTTCTATTTTTGTTTTTGGCATTTTTTGCACCTTTCATTCAGTATGCAAATTCAATACTGGATTTTTTTCTTTGCATATGGTTTGTCTCGGTATATATATAGGATGGATTTTAAGTATAACATTTTAATTTATTATATATATTATACAGGGTGATTCTAAATTGCTTTTACAATTTAAGACGGGTGATAGTACTCATCCAGATGAGCAATAATTACCATAGAACATAGAGTCGCATTCCACTCTGAGAAGCAAAAACGAAGAATATTAGAATTCCAATCTAAACTTACAGCAGTGTTGGGAGAACGGATAAAACCGAAAACTTGGCGTTCGAGTGTTAATTAGTGCTGAGACTTTCATGGCTAACATTCAATATATATAAAATATCTTTGGTTTGCAAAATCTCAACCTCGCAAACGATTTCAACAAGTTAATTATCTAAATTATTAGGGCAAAATTATCTATTAGGGTTAAAACCTACCTTGATATCAAGTATCAAGGTAGAAGTTGTTTTTGTCTTAGCCATCTTCTATCCTGTCTTCCTGGACTTACCCTGCTGCTCTCATTTTACTTGAAGCGCCCTTCTATGGGACACGAAGTTCTGACAGCGGGAAAGCAGCATGAGCTTTTCATGTTAATCTCGGCATTCAGCGGACGTTGGAGTTAGTTAATAATATTTAGCCTTTGATTGCATAATTAACTAGTTGCAATCGTTTACGAGGTTGAGACCTTGCCAACCAAAGATGGGCATTTGAGTGTTTGCCATAAAAGTCTGAGCTCGAATGAACACCCGAACGTCAAGTTTTCTATTTTATCCGTTTTGTGTCCTCTCTGTAAGTTTGTCAATAAACTGATTGTGCAACATTTGGTCTCGTTCATTCGCTCTCCCAACACTGCTGTAAATTCAGATTGGAATTCTAATATTCTTCTTTTCTGCCTCTTAGAGTGGAATGCGACCCTATGTTTTACCTTAATTATTGCTCATCTGGATGAGTCTGTCACCCATCTTAATTTGTAAAAAGAATTTAGAAGAACCCTGTATATGTGTGTGTGCTTGCATGCAATTTCTTTACATTATTTATAAATTCGCAGATTTATAAATAAGATCACCAACTTTATAACACTTAAAATATTATGTCGTTTATTTTTTCCGCTTAGAAATTATTTATTTGTGTCCTACAGATTCTTAATTTAAACTCTGCAGATGTTTGTATTAGTATTTTAAGTACAGGACTTTTTTTTACCATTTTCATTGTATTATTTATTTATAGGTTTCTTTTATTTACTAAGATATTTTCAATTCTTTTTAATTTACGAAGATATTTTAAATTAACATAATACGATTCGATTCCTAATGGAATCATAATGCTTTTAATTGCATACCTTAAAGAACCATCATTAATATTTTGTCTACATGCAATTTTTCCTTAATTAAAAGGGATCCTTTAAAGGATACTGTACCTTTCGCATGACATTTCGCGAGTATTTTATGTTAATTATATACATGCTAGCTAACAAATTACGCAAGTGCTTTATTTAACATAAGAACCTTACAAGATGTTTAGCCGATATGATCGAAAGGTCCGTTCGTGGACAAAAGCTAGCTTTTTCAAATGCCAGCAAACTACTGGCTGTTATCCTTACATCATGGATTAAGATTTTAAAGGAGACATTCGCCGACTTATATGGGCCAGCTTATGCTCCTTACTGTAATTTGTTAGGCTACAGATTGCCTCAATGAGATACTATATAAATATACTTTGGTCATGATGCGTTTCAGTGAATAAATTATCAGTATCTTTTAACTAAATTAATGAAAGTGACGGAGAGAAAACTCAGATGAGCTCAAAATTTATTCCCATTTACAAGTGACAAATCAATGTCTCAAAAAGAAACGTTACTATAAGTAAAATTCAGAAAATCTTAACTACACTCTAAAACAATGACACTGCGAGTTTGTGAAACAGGTGCAAGTAGGAAAGTTGCAGCAGTCTTCATCCTCAGTGCAAGGATCTCCACTGTCTGAACAGAATCTGAAGAAATAAAAACGTAAATAAGGCAAGAAGAGAAATCCATGATTGAATGAAGTTTATAAAGAATCATCCTTTAAAAATTATATGGCTTTAAAATAAAATTTAAAAAAGACTATTTTAGATGCAGCCAAATCTTTCGTTTTATTTTGAAGTGTTAAGTTTATGACAACATGACTAATTTTATAATATTTATATGTCCCACCTCGACTTAGTGCACATGAGTGAATTCGATGAAACCCATTTTCGATAACGATATGCAATAACTCGGGCAATTAGAATAACCTATTATATTGCATAAAGTATGAATTAAGGTACACTTTTGATCATTTTTAACACTATAAAGTTGTTCAGCTGAAATACTGATCTCGCATGTTTGGAACATGTGTCCCCAAAACGTATTTTTTGCTTCAGGCAAATATGAAATTTAACATTTTCAGTGAAGTTACAGAAGAGTTTGTCAGGATCTTAAGTTTTACTAACGTTTATTTTATTTTAAATCTTTACTATCACTTCTTATTTTCTACTTCCGGCCAGAATTATAAGCGTTAATGTATTTATGCAAAGTTTGTCTGGCGAACGCCAAGTATTTAAGTTGTGGCTGTTTGCTAAGCGAGAGAGAGGAAGCAGTTAGTCGAAGCAGGTCGCTTACCTTAGAAGTTTTACTCAGTTGCTGGTTGCCTTCCGGGCCAGAGGTTTTAATCCTCTTGATAATTTTTAAACGTATTGTAGTGTTCACAGTTCTCTGTACTACATACGGCTTCCTGTTAATATAAGGCCAATCTTCCACGCTTATTATTTCAAAGTTAAAGTAGCGTTTAGTTCTATTTTTATATTCTTACGTTTAGACCACAAGTAGTGGATCTTTGTATTCCGAAGTACGGAAATTATTGTAAATAGAGAAAAATAAAGGGTTTTGTATACCCTTCTTGTGTATCCTGTCTACTTTCCACAATTATTGAACATAGCTTTAGTAATCTCTCTGTTCCGAGTCAGGTCCTTGCATGTTCCCGAAGAAGGTAAGACGGAACATTGATCCTGATAGTGGCGCCCAACGAAGAAGAATAACCATGGCCGAGTTTCAAGAAGAACCTGTGCTGCCTGCAGAAGCGGCTCAGAATCCAGAAATGCCAGCTGCCGCCCTGGAAGGATTTGGTTACATCGTCCAGACCATGCGCGCTTCGATGAAACCAGAAGCAACATTTAAAGGAAACTCACCGGTAACCAGTTTTTGGGAAAAATTGGATGACCACTTCATGCTCTACCCCGTGCACGAATTTCAAAAAGTTACCTTAGCTACCAGCGCTTTGAGGGGCCAAGCGCTTAACTGGTTCAAAATGTATAGGCAGGAAGTCTCTTGGGTCAAGCAGGAAGTCCCACCTATACTTACGAGAATTTCAAGACTGCCCTAGTAAAAGCCTTCCCTGTTGTAAGGGATCGTGCGAAATTAGAAACGGAACTTTTTAGTATATATCAACAAAGAATCGAAAACCTCTCAAGCTTTATTTTAAGAAAAATTCACGTCTTCAAACTCTTGTATGGAAACCGTCCGGATCCTGAGATAATTCAAGTGATTTTGCCGAGGTTACTGCCCCAAGTGCAAGACTTTATTAAATTAAGAAATCCGACTACACTGGAAAAGTTATTTGAGCTAGCAATCCAGTTTGAAAGTAGAAGAACGGCGGACGTCGAAAGAAGACGCCAATATCAACAGAGAAACCAATTTGGTGCGCCAAGACTACAGCAAACTCAAGCACACGGCTACGGAAGCAAAGCGAATCAGTGGGCAAGGAAACTCGAGCATTCAAAAACAGCCGGCGAACGTCGACAGTTCAATAGCAATCCAGGAAAAAAGTCTCAAGGCCAGTGGAAAAAGAAGGAAAGCACGGAAATGAAAAATAATTTAAACTAAAACGGATTTCTCTGCTGACGAGAGGGTGCGGAAATCCGGAAGGCCACGAAAACCCCTCTTCCTTCAAGTTAAATACAGTAATGGTGAAAAATTTGACTCTTCCGAAGATTGAAGTTGGTGAATAATATCCCAGCCACCGCACTCCTGGATACAGGCGCGCAGTGTTCCTGTGTGGCAGAAGATTTTTTTAGGAAGTATTTTCGGAAATACCGCATATATAATTCGGATAATACGACAGTGTTAGCGGCGCAAGGAGAAAAATGTAAGTGTATAGGTAAAGTACCGTTGTATGTCCGTATCAAGGACGAACAAGTAAAGGTGATGTTTTTTATAGTAAAGAATCTGCAAGAACATATAATTTTAGGAATAGATTTTCTTTCAGAGGCACAAGCAACGCTGGATTTTAATGAAGCGTCCCTTAAGCTGACGATGAAACCGGTTCGTGCAGAAAAGGCTGAACTGCCGATGTTAAATCTTGACCACCTGCCTAATGACGAGCAAGGAGAAATTCTAAGGAACATAACATCCACCAAATATATGACGACTTTAGACTTAACGACTGGTTATTTTCAAATAGGGGTTAGGCCTGAGGACGTGTCTAAGACTGTTTTTATAACCAAGTCTGGCACTTATGCATTTTTGCGTATGCCGTTTGGCCTTTCAGGGGCACCGGCAACATTTCAGCGATGTATGGACATTGTGTTGAGGCCTGTTCTTGGAAAGTCCACATTTATCTATTTAGACGATATCATTATTACTAGTGATAATCTCGACCAACATGTACATGATTTAAGACAGGTGTTTTCTTTATTAAATGAGGCCGGTCTAAAAGTTAATGTCCAAAAGTGCAAATTTGCAGCCCCTGAATTAAAATATTTAGGTTACAAGATATCTCAGAAAGGAATAGAGACAGACGAATCAAAAATAATCGCTGTACAAAAGTATCCGACTCCAAACACGGCGAAGAAGCTCTCTTCTTTTCTAGGACTTTGTTCATATTATAGGTCCTTTATAAAAAATTTTGCAGCTATTGCTGAACCATTGTTAAAATTAAAAAGGAAAAAGGCAAGATTCTCGTGGACGGCCGAAGCCAATAGTGCTTACGAAAAATTAAAACGCAAGCCCCTGTGTTGAAATTTCCTGAAAAAAATGAGAATTTAGAAATTTCAGCGGATGCTTCGGATTATGCGGTAGGAGCGGTACTTTCGCAAAATCAGCAGCCCGTGGCAGTTTTTAGCCGAACTTTAAATCAAACACAAAGAAACTATTCCGCGACCGAGAGAGAGGCACTTGCAGTTCTGTTAGCAGTGCTAAAGTTCCGAGTCTATTTTGGAAAGGCGCCAATAACAGTGTACTCTGATCATGCGGCGGTAACTAGATTGTACTCAGGGAAAAACTTATCCCCAAGGTTAATAAGATGGGCACTCAAGCTACAAGAATATAATCTGGTAATCAAGCATATCCCCGGAAAGGAAAATATCGTAGCAGATGCCCTATCCAGAATTAAAATAGATGAAGAAGGTAATACAGTAAAGGTGGCAATGCTCACAGCATGTACAATAAATTCCCGAGAAACTGTAATAACCGAACTGGGTAAGGATCCTGAGTTTGGAAGCATTTATGAGTATATAAAGGATCCTGAAAATTTTAGCCACCAAGATATTGTGGCGATAAGAAATAGGGCGGCCCATTACGAACTAATAGATGGTCTATTATTCTATACAAAAACCACGAATTCGAACAACGAATTTCGACCTGTTATCCCAGCTAGTCTTAGATTAAATATCCTGCAGGAGCTCCATGACAGCCCTTTAGCTTCTCATGCTGGTATTCGAAAAACTATCCAACGCGTACGCGAGGCAGTCTATTTTCCTGAACTGCAAAAGTTAACAAGGGCGTATGTCCAGTCCTGCCCAACATGTCAAGCAGTTAATTATATTAATTTCCGCCCGGCCGGGTTTCTAAATAGTATTAAATCCGAATTTCCAAATGAAATAATTGGCATCGATTTATTGGGCCCTTTCCCAAAAAGTCAGTTAAATAAAAGTCGCTATCTCCTTGTTATGGTTGATCATTTTAGTAAATGGACCGAAATTGTTCCCTTAAAACGAGCCTCCGCGAAATTAGTTACTGATTCTATTTTAAATAAATATAGTTTAAAATACGGGGCGCCCCTAAAAGTTATATCGGATAATGGTCCTCAATTTGTAAGTAATGTATTTGCAGACATGTGCCAAAAACTGGGCATACGTGATTTAAAAATGGTCCCGTATCGGCCGCAATCAAATATAGCGGAACGGGTCAATAGAAATATAGTGAAAATTATCCGTAGTTATGTTAAAAATTTTCATAAAAGCTGGGATAACTATGTCAATGAATTTGCTTTCGCCCTTAGGACCGCAAAACATGATACAACGGGCAAAACTCCTGCTGAGTTATTTTTAGGCAGAAAGATTATAACGCCGTTAGATAAATTATTTTATGTGCAACAAAGAGCCCCAGAATTTAAAATGGGTGATATAGAAAAACTAATTAAGGAAGCAAAGAAGAATACTGAAGTAGCACAGAGAAAACAAAAGCTATATTATGACTTGAAACGACGGGGAGTAACTTATAAAGTAGGGGATGAAGTTTAAAAAAATTAAGCATTCACTTTCTTCAGCACCAGAAGATAAAACTGCCAAATTTTTTCCACGATTTGAATACCAAATCCACATATGTCATAGAAAAAATAACTCACGCTGTAGTAGTGTTAAAAGCCAGAAATGGTGAAACCTGCTCCGCAAACATTGATCAAATCAAACCCTACTATGATCGTAATAAAATGAAAATTTTCAAAGATCTTTTGCAGGATCCGGCACGGCAGACACCGCAGGCACAAGCTCCAGAGGTGGAAAAACGACAAGTACAAGGGCAAGCCATTAAGAGGCAGGAGCAAGTGAAAAGAAAGTTTCCCCGCGGAAAAATTGAAGGTAGCAAGAAAAAAGAAGCCGTTCCACCGTCCAGAAAAGAGAGCTCGCGAACACCCCCAGAATGAAGAAGGGAGAAGGACGACGTATGCAAAGAGCCAGGAGAAATGACGGCAACTATAACCCGGCTCTAAAACGGAAGATCTACTCATCCGACAGGACTCTCCGCAGCAAATGTCGCCGAACTGCGGAAGGGCCATCAGCGGCGGAGGAAAAGTTACAAGGAAAATTTGAACGGCCAGCAACGAGGTCCAAGCAGGAACACGAAAGAAGTTTCCCGGTTCCGCCAAGACCAGCTGCCATCAAACGGCCAAGACCACAGGCAGAGGCGAAAAAGAAGGTATTCAAGGCTGACCGAACTGGAAAAAAGAAAGCATCTAGAGGAAGGCACTGAAGGGCGAGCCCGTACAAGAAGGAGGATAAACCAAACAACAATCTACGCTACTTTCCAGGACTGGGCCCAGAAAAGAATGTCCGAATATCACAAAGATAAGTAAAATTTTATGTTACTTTGCAAACTTAAGTTAATCTTTCATTCTTACTGCAAGTGGCAGATTTCAAGAAGTTTTACCTCATGCGAGGTCTACCTTTATCGCCAAAAGGGCGAGAAATGAGTTGTTACCGATTTTGGTATTATGTTTTTCAATTACTCGCGCGTAAAACTAAAGTTGATGTATAATAGCGATGTGTAAATACTTAAATATTGTAAAAAGTTATTGTATAAATTTTATTTAAAACTTTCTGGCAAGAAAGAAGTTTTAGTCTGAAAGACTTTTTGAAATGTATTATTTCAATGTAGAAGAATTGGCACTTGCTTTGAAAAGAATAGAAGTTAACAATGTACTACTAATGTATGTTTTTCAAATGTGTAAAATTAACGGCATGTTATATGTTCTTATATACAATGTGAACTGTTATTTTAAATGTTAAGAAATACCGTGATATGGTAAAAGTGAAAGTAATGTTAAAAATTTTTTTTTATTCGTGTGACTGTAAAAAGACTAAATCATGGTGAATATGTGTTAAAGGTTGAATGATGTAGTTAGGCTCTCTGACGCTACACTTTCAGAGTTAGCCACTTTCAGAATAGTACCTCAGGGTTTAGAGTTGAAATTAGGGTGTGTTACGAGGTCTTGGTATGTTGAATTTTAACACGTTAGTGTTTTGATTGTAGGAGGAAGTGTTGAACACGTAGACATAAACACATTCGTGTTTGGTGTTCTTTTACAACACATGTCAGAGAGCACGGGGAGAGATAATTAAATAGTCATGAATGAAATAAGAATGTTAAGAGAAATATAATTATACATGTTACTTGCCATTTCATTGTGTAACATTTCATTAAACTAGTTTTCCTTCCAGATCTCTGGAAGGAACCAGATTTGAATAAAAGCTCCTGTTTAGATGCAGTACAGATGAAAAAAAATTGTGTGTCCTGGGAGCTGCTATTGTAAAAACAAATTTCTTTCTTTTTAAATTTCTAGTTTCTAGCGAAAAAAATGTTTGTAAAAGATTGGCCTCGCGTTAGATTCTAGAGCTAAAGTGTTTCAACAAGGTCGTTTTAGACCTCAGTTTCAAACTAATTAACTCTGGCGGGAAGTATGTAAGGATCTTAAGTTTTACTAACGTTTATTTTATTTTAAATCTTTACTATCACTTCTTATTTTCTACTTCCGGCCAGAATTATAAGCGTTAAGGTTATTTATGCAAAGTTTGTCTGGCGAACGCCAAGTATTTAAGTTGTGGCTTTTGCCAAGCGAGAGAGAGGAAGCAGTTAGTCGAAGCAGGTCGCTTACCTTAGAAGTTTTACTCAGTTGCTGGTTGCCTTCCAGGCCAGAGGTTTTAATCCTCTTGATAATTTTTAAACGTATTGTAGTGTTCACACAGTTCTCTGTACTACATACGGCTTCCTGTTAATATAAGGCCAATCTTCCACGTTTATTATTTCAAAGTTAAATTAGAGTTTAGTTCTATTTTTATATTCTTACGTTTAGACCACAAGTAGTGGATCTTTGTATTCCGAAGTACGGAAATTATTGTAAATAGAGAAAAATAAAGGGTTTTGTATACCCTTCTTGTGTATCCTGTCTACTTCCCACAATTATTGAACATAGCTTTAGTAAGCTCTCTGTTCCGAGTCAGGTCCTTGCATGTTCCCGAAGAAGGTAAGACGGAACATTTATCCTGATAAGTTCATTGAAAGCGTTTTAGTAAAATCAAAGAAGTAAAATCTTGGTGAGTAAAGCTAAGAGCCTTTAATAACTAACTTATAACCTAATGCGGCATGCGACGGAGGACGTGGGCACATATTATCGCTGGAGCATGAAGGAAAATTATAGGAACAAGCGATTTTTCGGGAACTTGCTATCGTTCAGAAACCTGAGTTACTAAAACTTATGAGATTTTGCGAATTTTTTGCGACTTCAGCATTACCTTGAGCTACTTTCTGCTAACTTAAAACTTTTTAATACTTCATAAAATATATGTGCGTAATGTATCGACCGAAATTAATTTATGATAAAAAATGTGAAATTATTTGAACAAAAACTGGCAGCTGGCAATCCAGCGATATTAGCTCATATGCACTCAGCTTTCAACACAAGTCTCTGGTGTCACCTTGTTTGACTCATTACTTTGTTTAATATGTTAGTAATCTGTAGACAGGAAAGGTTGAAATCAGATTATAGCTGCCCTGTTAATTAAAGTGTGAATTATGAGTAACGTGAAAATACGAGTTTCAAATTCCCAGCCTGCCATTCCGGATATATACATCCTAGAATATTTTATAACCCTCACCTAAGTATATATACATGCATCTTTAAATATTTACAAGAAATTATGGTAATATATTACAAGTAAACGATTGAAGGTACAGGATGGTTATAATTAAAGTCACCCTATTCAGACGTCTCTAGAACCTGTTCTACTTATTGACGTTTTTTGAAATTTGTTATATATATTATGTGCACCATGGGGAAACGCATTTGCAATAAAAATCGATCAAATTTTGAACACTAGGGGGGGATTGTGACGACTAAAGAAGAACAAAAAATCTGTCAGAATCATTAAAATTTGTTAAATTACAGAATGTGTTCAATATGTACTCAATTGATATCAATTACGTGTTGAAAGCACATTATAGACTGTTCAATGGTAACGCAAAGTAACTTTCGAAGGATTTTAGTAAGTTGGCGTGTAATGCTGGCTTTTATCTTGGGTAATGTCCTTAATCTTTTATCTTGGGTAAAGTCCTAATTCCTCCTCCATAAACACTGTCTTTTAGGAATCCCACAACCAGAAATCACAGGGATTGAATTCGGAGGAACGAGGAGACCAGACATCCGGAAAAGCTCTGGGTATTACAAAATTTTCGCCAAAGTTAGTACGAAACAATTCTTTAACTTGGCGCTCAATGTGGGGAGTTGCTCCATCTTGCATGAAGACAGTGGTCTGCAAACATTGTCTTTCCTGTAAAGAACGTTTACCATTAAAGCTCGATCTTTCTTCTGTAAAGGCATGATTAACAATGACAAAGGCACGCAGAATTATTTTCTGGCTCTGACTGCAAATCTCTTTATAGGTTTGACTAATTTGCATAAGGTATTTTTCAAAATTGCCATCTGGTGGTCAAAATTTGAACTGTTTTTTATTGCAGAAATCATTTCCGCATAGTCCGTATAACGTAAATACCAAGTTTTATCAAATTCCGACAAGCAGAAAGGGTTATGCAGGGGTCTGAATACTGTCACTTTAACCATAACCACCTTGTATAATGTATCAAGGCCATTTGGACATTATTATCAAGAAAATATCTCTTCATCATGGAGTTACTGAGAAAGTTGGAGTTTAGCATTTAGGCCTTTTGCCGGTTGGAGGGTAAATGATTAAATGTTTCATTTCTTGAGCCAAATATTATAGAGAAAAGTACTGTGTGCCAAATTAAGAAATTCTTGCAGAACACATTCTTCAGTTTCTAAGATATCTAGTGATGGATTTTAAGAAACCATAATAATATTCACATGTTTTATTAGATGTTGCTGCTTAATCTCGACTAGTCTGATTGTACATATGAAAAACGTTTTAAAATAAGAGATTTCTTTCATGGCTCCATTCGTGTTTATGATTACTTGACTTCGCAACCCTGAAACTCATTTAATAACTGTAATTCCAAATTTTGCCATATTTTAGAGGTGTGTTCCTCTTTTTGCACATCGTCCTAAATATGTGTGAGCGATTAGACAATATGTGAAATTTATTGCATTCCAACTAAGTTTTTTTCCGGATCGTATTTTGGAAACGATGTTTGTTTCTAAAAGATTTTATCTTTGCAGTTTTATGAAATATGATTTTTAGTACTTACCGGGCGTTTTCATAAATGTTTCCTAAAGTATTTTGATCTGAAAAGTAAAGCAGATATTTGTATAATCACCATGAAATATCAATGCAGCTTGAGTGACGACAGATAATATGCTTCTTATAAGGTTAGCAATAATTACACAAATTCCTATCAGGTAACATATTGAAATCTGTCATCTTTTCATGTACAAGTCCTGTATATATGGTCATATACTGGCTTGCATTAATTATCTTAAACACAAGTAGAGTTTATATTTAGCATCTCTGAAGTTTTTTGTCACATATGAGCTTTAATAAAATAAATTCTAATCTAATAAATTCTAATAAACCGTTAGCTAAATTAAACGCTCAAAGCTGCTGCAATTTATTTGTAAAATCTTGAAATTAAATTAAAAAAAAGTCTGAATGATTTCAGATTTTATATTATGACCAAAGGGGCGTTTTTCATTTACACACGCATACACGTTTCGAGAGCATTTGGCCTAAAAATATTTAAAAGCAGCATATCTTTAGAATTTCCGACAGATAATATCATGCGGCAGATAAAAATATTTCTTTCCGTACAGTGTTGCCATTTCTGGCTTTGAAATCGTTGAGTTTGTTAATCAAAAATTCTTCAAACGTTTACAAAATATGAAATATATAATAAAAAAAATTCGAAACTCAAAATTGGTGCTTCCAGGTGTTCGGGTTACGTATGGATTAGTATTTCAACTTCGACCATTTTTTTCAAAAGGAAATATACATATATTTTCGCTTTTTATCTTGTTCAGGATAAGGGGGCTAAAGTGAACCCCTTTATATAACGAAAGGATTTTTCAAAAACTAAAAGCCTCCTTCGGGTAAACTCCCGGCTAAGATTTAAAAACAAACGCCGAAAAACAAAGGTCGTGAAAAATACAATCAAAAAGGGGGGAAAAAACGCATAGTTGATCTTTAATTATTTCGATAACCTATAATAAAAATCATTTGGCTCTAGTGCATTCCCTGCCGGGGAAAAGTAGAATAATATTGAAGCAACGGTGGGTAAGTAGAGGGGAAAGAAATTGCTTCTTGCTTTAGTTGCTCAGCCCCCACAACCACACGAAGGAAAGCCAGCCTTGTTTTGGCACCCCAAAACAAAAACAAGGGGGGGGCAGAGGGCCCCCACGGAAAAGCCAAAGAAAAAAAGGACCCTGGGGAACATATTATAGGAAGATAACCGAAAAATAAGAACGCGGAAAATAAGGAACCTTAAAATTTATATCTAGATCTCGCCTCCTAAGTCACCTTATCTCTCAAATCGAGGTTTTCCATACATAAAGCGGAAAAAGGTAACTAAAATTAACCAATCACAGCTTCGAGTATTTTCTGCATCTAATGTTAATAGGTATAAATACCACTCACAAGTAATTACGTCATTCCTTTCCCAGCGAAAGCGTTGCATACGTTTCATCTTTTTTGCTTCCACTTAACCTAATATCTCTACAGTGGCAGCCGAACTAAAAGGGTATAGGATGATGAATCTCCTCAGGATATGGCGATTGGGTCCCCTAAAAATCCCAGTCGCCCTTTAGTACCTTTTAGGGGAGTATATAAGGTATTTCTCCCGCCTTCCTAGCGAGCCTTTGTGGTGTAGTGGTCAGCACTCTGAACCGCTATTTCAGATGTCCGTGGTTTGATTTCCGGCGAAGACGGTTGCTAATTTTTCAATCTCTCTTGCTTCCAAAAAATACTAATGTCTATGCAGTGGCACCGAAATGAAAGGGTGTTGTTCTCCACACCCAGGATTTGGCGATTGGGTCGTCCCCTAAAAACACCATTCGCCCTTTAAAAGGGGGAGTATATAAGGTAATTCACCAGTCTTTCTTGTGTGCCTTCGTGGTGTAGTGGTTCTGCACGCTGGGCCGGTATTCCAGGGGTCCGTAGTTCCATTCCCGGCGAAGGCGTTTGCTCATTTTTCATCTCTCCGTCTTCCAAAATTATTCTAATGTCTCAACTTGGATTATGTCAACATCTTCTAGCTACCTTTCCACTTGACTTCGAAGCTGTTAAAAGTTCATATGGCGTCTACGCTCTTAAACGATTACATATATATATATATAAATATATACTGATGTGGCATTGGATTTAAAAAGAAGGCATGTGTGCTCTTTTAGAAGAGTGTACGAATATGATGAGTAGGAACCGGGAATTATAATTTAGTATTACATAATACAAAAGTAAAATCAGGCACCTCTCCAGTTTTGCAGAAACCACGCGACATTTTCTATATTTCCATTAGTGTTGCGCGTTTCTACACTTCTTTTAAGGCAAACTTTGTAAATATGCGAAGTCTTTGGCCGGTGTTTTACATAATAAGCAATCTTTGCAAATATTTGTACTTTTTACATTTCTTTTAAGACAAATTTTGTATATATGCAATGTCTTTGGCCAGTGGTTTGCATAATAAACAGTCCTTGTAATTGTATTTTTTTACATTTCTTTTAAGCCAAACTTTGTGGATATGCGAAGTCTTTGGCCAGTATTTTACATAATAAACACTCATAATAAATATTTGTATTTTCTATGCTGGCAAATTGTATTAATCATTCATATTATATTGTACAGGCTACACGGTTCCTCATATATGTTACGATACCTGGTATACAGCTCACATACTTAGCAAGCTAACAACGGCAACTGGAACTGATACTTCAATATCATATCCCTATTTTCAGAAAACGTATAGCACTAACACTTACGTGAATTGTTAAAAGTCAAAGATAATATTAAAGAAAAGGAATGCTAATGCGAAGGGTTTGTCTATCAGATATAAGCCCGTGATATTTCTTCAGGTTAATAATAAGAATTAAATATCAAATAAGAAACATATGCTTATATATCTTACTTGATACCTTCATTTATTAAAGTTACAACTCAGATAAGAAAATTTACACTCAGTTTCAAATTACAGTAATTTATTTAAAAAACATGAGTGTCGTTTTGTAACAGTTTACCGGACATAATGAGGTAGTTACGATCAACTCCATAATTGTAATTTTCTGCTCTTTACGGTAGATAAAGATTTTAGAGGAGTAAACCTTTACGTAAGAATATAAATGCTTCAATGAAATTAGATATCCTTTTTCATAAAAAAATACTACTTACAATCGCTAGCTTTGGGCTTTACCTCTTCCAAGTTCGCTATGACAAGTACCACTATTAGACATGCAGATGAACCTTTCATATCTAGTATTTGAATATTCTGTAACAAAAAGATAGTGAAATAACAATGAGGCGCGACGTTCATTAAACTGAAACTTTCAGATTGCGGATTCATTTATTCTTAATTATTTTTTTTTAGAAGTGCTGGTCATTTTCAGAAGCAATCACTTTACAAAGACGATCTTTGTGAACTATAAGTACATTCGCTCCCGGTATTTAGTATAAATAGTTTCGCATTGTATTAAAAGATTAATAAATAAAAACTATACTGCTATTTTCTAATTCACTAAAATTTCAAATATAATATAACATATTCGATATAATTTAATATAAAATATTCGAATGGATATTCAATATTCCGATTGCTAGTGTGATTTGTTTAAAAACTACTTCTCATGCAAACTGAAGCAAATTGATATTTTTAACTCTTCCTGACGCGTTTAAATCATAGATTGAAAACAAATTCTTTGATATAGCAGACGGTCCTATCAAGTTGTATTATCAAACGAATGAAATTTTAAAGAGATGTTTTCCTTAAAAAACAAAGAAAGAAAAATACAATAAAAAATTACTTAAATTTTATGTTTACAATGCAAAATCAATAAATTAATATCCCGAGTTTTAAGGTTCCGAAAAGTTCAACCAATCATTCAATAAAGAAACAAAAACGCTTTGGTCAACATAGATTTAACCAGTAAAATAATTTTAGCGCCAAACTGAAACTTCGCGCTACCTTTTAAATATGAATATCTCTGAAATGGCTTGTACGATCTTTGTAAAATTTGATGCAATTTGGTGCAAAATTTGGTGGTTTGTAAAAATTCAGAATTTGATGCATAAAATCAAATCATCCAATAAAAAGGAATGTGTGATTCCAGAAAAAAAAATGATTTTGTCCCTTACGTATATTTAAACAATCTACTCGCTACTCGCGCTTTTGACACATGAAAATCACAAGTTTAATATCTCCCGTTCCAATCCAGTGATAAGAAACGAAAGACGTAGAACCGTCCCATCGTTTTTTAAATCAATTTACCTATTAATATTATCTTATACATACTTTACATATGTGTAAGTTAATGTTAATAGAATAACTGATTTAGTTTTCAGTATACTTAGTTTATATATTCATATTTTCTGGAATAAATTTCTACTTAGAATAGAAACTCGAATCCACCATCAGTTACAAGCAATTAACTTTAAAAGATCCCTGCACCCAAAAAATAAAAGTAATATTAAATAAATTCCAAAATAGAAAAAATTACACTTTTTGTGACGCCAAAAGCTTTGAAATATAATTTGATTAAATTATCTATGATAATTCTCTCCGCCCGCAAAGAAATGAAATTTGAGTAAGGTTAAACCTTCCTCAGGAACTCAACTCGTTATTTCATATAATATTTTGCTAGTAATGTAATTTGAATGTTGAAAACGTTAATTTTAATAATTTACTTAGTAAACCATCCAAGAATGATATTTTAAGAAAAGATTTAATACGATATTAATATATTAATTTGGATTTTTGGCCTGATATTTTAATAATTTCAGAGAGAAAAATGAGGCTTTTCGGAGCGGGAAAAATCAACCGTGTGTTCGATAAGATTCGAACAATAATTGTTTCACTTACTAACTAAGTGTGCCGATCACTTACACCACAAAATGACGGACGGAGGAATGCAGAAATTTCTATGCAGCTAATAGACTTAATAACTTCGCTGTTTAATAAATGAATTATTTAACATAAATTTAACTTATCGAATGCTGATATGAAAATTCGAAATACAATGAATATTCGATGTCAATAACGTAAAGTAACTTTATCAAACATGTGCGTTGCTATGCATTGCGTAAAACCTGTATCGTTAACTGATAGTAATATGTTGAGAAGTCTTACCTGAAACGACTATAAAATGTCAAAACATCCAGCACAGACAAACGTGAACACAAGTTTTCTGTACGTATTTATCTTACATATGAATTTCTGCATATTTTTATTTTTAACCATTTGTGAGTGATACACCTGTTTGCATGTAAGCATATCAGCTTGGTCTTTTTTACTGGGACAAAACAATGTTCTCACCAGGAACATCTGGGAAATTAAAAACCAAATAAAAACGATGTCGATTTAATAACTGGATAGGGGCCTTTGATAACTGAATAAGACAAACCGATTAAGAATATTTAATAAAAAGACTAGAAAAAAGAAGGGAATTTTATACTGTAAATATTACCCTTCATTTTCGTGAAAAAGTAAAATTACATAGATAAACAAAATAATCCGTTGTGACTTGAAACCTGATAAGTAGGTTAGCGCATAAAAACACATTGCACATGAACATTTCTTTGCTCTTGACAAATACTTTTAAATTAAACATATAAAGCTAAATTAGCTGAACCGTTCTTCGATAATTATAAGCACGCTTTTAATGTACTTACAGCAATATTATTAGTGTAACAAACAGAAAAGATGGATTATATGTTAGCAAGTCAAGGAAGCCATGGGTAGAAAGCGTAGACTACGATGCGATTTTTAGGTTAATAGTGTTAACCTTAATTCACTTAATTTCTGTAGGTTGTGGTTAAAGTTTTGGTTTCAAAAGTTAGCATTATTATCGGGAAACGACAACACTAGTTTCAGTTTTTAAATTATGTAATTACACGTTGCACAGAAACAATGTGCACAGTCTATATCTCTCGTTCTACTGGGCCGATGGATGAAATTTAACTTGCCTTTCTCATGTCTCAAAAGCGCCATAGAATATATTGTTGCGTGGGTGCGGGTTCATAATAAATTGAATGCACAAGTCCGATGAAAAGTGAATAAAATTTATTCTTATCACAACAAATGAAACAAAACGCTGAAATTTCCTCAGAGATATTCGTACAATATCGCAATATCTCACGGTAGTTATATTTTAAACTGCTAAAACGTTAAATAGAACTCAAATTCAAAACAGCAAAGAGAAAGCTAATCCAATCTCACCGCGAATTCGCTACAATCAATAACAGCAAAATGTAAACAACTGAATTGAAGTGTTTACCTCCCGCTTTTAAAAGCGTTTTAATCAGCACGAGAGCATTCTGGTATTTTCTCGATTTTTCTGTATAGCAAAAGAGGACAATTATGAGATATCTATTTATTAAAATGTTGAATGCGCGTGCTTCTGTATTTTAATTTTTCCGGCGCAGCTTTCTCTCTAAATAAGTCTTGTGCTGCATTGCTTGGGAATACAAAACAATTTTAATTACAAATTCTACTAAAAATGACTAAATAAATACAAAAACCGAAACACTATATTAGGTTTATATAAAGCATTTTCAACATGAGTATTTTGAACAAAATCGGTGTTTTTCTGAAAGTACATATTTATTTTTTCCATATTTCGATTCTACGACTCAAATTATGCCGAAATGGAAGTTTGCAAAAATCGCGCAAGTTTTTTTTTAAAAAAATAGCTCTCAAAATTTTAGCTTCTCAATGTTAATTGAATATGGTATATATATTTATTAACATCCCCTTTTTTTATTAACAGGAACTGACTGGATACCAACTTTCACAATTCGAAATTTATGTTCAGTCCAAATGAAATTCACAGCTATTTTCTGATTTGTTCTCAAAATTTGTATATTTTAGTAATTTTAATGAACTTTTCGGAAAACATTTTGAATTATAAGCTATAACGATTTTACCGTCATCTTAATTCAGATGTATTTCTAAGCGCACCTGCAACAAATTAGAAATTTTTATTCAGAATTTCTGAAGGTATATGTGAATTTATATATTGGCGCGTTTTGAAATTTGGCATATTTGTTATGAGCGATAATAACGCCAAGAATTACGCGTTTTCTTGGAATTATTTGAAAGAATGAACAATGCATCTTTTATTCCGCTCGTGTACATTGAAAGATAAATTAAAATTATATACCATAAATTACGTTATCAGTAAGTATTCTTGGCGAAAACTTAAAAAAAAAAAAAAAAAAAAAAAAAAAAAACCACCAAATCAAATTTTAAAATTTTTCGGTAGTTTCTGATCATAATTTATATTTTAGAAAATTGAATATTATTAATTTTGGCATAATTTGAGGCGCAGAAGCGAACAATGGGAAAAATAGTTATATCATTTCAGAAATAGTCCGATTTTGTTGTGTGGAAATTCCTACTTTAGAACAGTACTATATATAAATCTAATATATGTCCTAAGTCACACTTTCGAGACATGAAAAACGTAAGTTAAATTTCGTCAATAGGCCCAGTAAAAAGCTAGATATAGAACTGTCCCTTTTTTGTTTTTATGCATATGTCACAGATTAATTTTGAAATGATGCAGTTCAAGGAGATTTATTAGAAGCATTTTGCTATTTTAAGACAGAAAAGGAAAATAACCTAATTAAAAAGAAGATTTAATATGTTAATTCAAATTAAATTTATAATTTTATCTCATCCATCCTTTATTATGTATGCATATTTAGAAATGGTCTTCCAAACCTTTAGACGATTTGTGAATATCCTACTATACAGCTTCTTTTGACAGTTTAAATAATAATCGAGTAAATATCCATCATATAGTTAAAAAATGACAGACATATGATTTCGGTAGCGACCTCTAGCGCCGTACGTTAATGATTTAAAGCACTGCAGTTAGTTGTCATAATTATTTCTAGCAGAGACATCGAGAATGAATGCTTTTGACAGCTGACTTCCCATTTATTCCAATATATGATAGCAGAGATTGATAAGTTAGTATGGGATATATGGGTGATAAAGCAACACGACTGGCGAGAGACACAGCGAAATGACGGGATAGATGAAAAGAGAGTATGACGCAGGAAAAGAAAGATGCAACGAAAAAATGGAAATTAAATTTAATCAAATAAAAATCTGTTGTCACACTTCATCTCTTAATACCTTATCTGTAAACAGCCATCTAGCCTAAACGCTATATTGAAAAAAAATAATTAAAAATTACGTTTAATTTTTAATTATTTTTTTTCAATATAGCGTTAATTGATTCGTTTTGTCTGGGCATGCATTCACTAGAAACCAAACTACATGGCAGTGCAAAAGTATTAGAATTGTCTGTAAAAAACATTGGTATACGGAATACGGGAAAAAACACACATATTAAAACGACGACATTTCTTCAAAAAATAAAGGATAGTATGTACATATTTAACAGAATTTGTTATATCCAGAAATATTCTTCCTCTTCTACGGAGATGGTCGCTGTAAGACTTAACTCGTAATGTTACATTTCACTTTCTCCTTTTTGCTTTCTTTGTATGAATTACAGGAAGTATAAATAGCGAAAACTTTCGGATGTCATATTTCAACGAAACTATCCATTTTGACTTCTCTCGAAACTATTTCAACGATGGTTTTGCTTGACATCTATACATACGGATAGTATAAAGGATTGTGTTTCTCAAATCGGGAAATCGATTTAAAATGGATTTAAAAATCAATTCAGAAGACTTTTTTCCCCTTGATGTTTGTATGTACGTACGTATATATGTATCCCACATAACTGAAGAATGAGTAGTCGTAGAATGTTCAAATTTTGTATACAGGTCAGTTATAACATGTAATTGTGCACCTCCCTTTCCGTTGCAGTAAGCTGCACCAAACGTATACATATATATGTATTTCCACTTTTGTTACCTTTGTCGGTGAGCTTAGTTTTTTCCCTTATATGTTGGTAAATTGTACATTTTTTTGCTTTAAACGTGATAGAATTATATGGCTGTTATGTTTCTGTTAAGGTTTTATGCCTTTAGTTAATCTGCATGCAATGATAGTAGAATTATCAATAGTTTAAAAGTTAAATTGGAAAGTTAAACCTAACAAACCGGTATTTGTTTTCATTTGAAACTCAGTAAAATAGTGAATTAAGTCACTTTCTGTACTTTTAATGTCTTTTTGCCTAGTGGCACCAAAAGTAAAATTTCACTTTTCTACACCAAAATATCTGCCTTCTTGCCCACTTGTCGAATTCCTTATTTTTGCCTAGAAACCCTAATTTCAATTGTAAAAAAATTTGTTTTTTAATTGCATTTAACTGTATTTTGGTATTTTAGGTTTTTCTCTATTTTGCAAGATGTTTTGAGTTTTTATGTACTTTTGCTTTGCCGGGAAATGAGAACTGAATTATTTGAATGAGAAATGTATCTGATGAAATTCAAGGAAATAAGTTTAAATGAAATGTGGCAAAAATAGGAATAATTTAATAGGCTGTACAAGGAAGTCGCATTATAATTGAGTATAAGAGATTTGAACAGTTTCAAGCAACTTTTTTTCGGAGTTATAAACACATCAAAAGAAATTACCTTCCTGTGTTCATGTATATTCATTGCAACATACTTATCCTAACATGTGTGCGATTTTAGGAGCATTGTTGTCAATTTTACTAATAGCGGAGAAGAGGTTTTTCAAAGTTCAAATTAATAAACACTTATTGGGGGATCTGAATTTCTCTCATTAGAAAATACGATTGCTGTAGAATAAAATTTGATGTTATTAACGATGATTTATCCTTACGAGAAGCCTAATAAATAATTACTTTACTGTAGAATATAAAAACTTTGGCAGTTATAGAGAACTTAACAAACAGGTTAAAAAAATTCATATTAAAAATGTTATTTGAAACTACTTCCCTATATGCTTTTACCTGGGCGAAGCTTGAATTTTTACTTAATGGTTTGATACAACTGCACTACGTATCAGAGATAAGGAATAAAACTTAAGTTCTTTCTGTTTTTGCAGCATTAATAAGATAAACATTTTAATGGATATCTTTCTTAAAAATAACTTTGTTTCATTGCAGATTAAAAAAATAAAAGATGTAGATATATATATATAAATATACCCGATCTCTTAACCAGTTCGGTGAACTGCATCTTTAGATTTTGCTAAATTGTGCATTTTTTCTTTTCAAAGTGATTGCATTATATTGTTCTTACATTCCGTTTAACCGTTTGACTGCTACGCGGCACAGAAGGGCTGCATTCATTTGT